CCTCGGTGTACTTCGTTCAGTTACGTATTGCTCATAACAGTATGAATATAATTATGTCTATGTGTATATCTGAACAAGAAAGAAATAGTGACGGAAATGTATACAAAGAAAGAAAAATATTAAACAGCTCAGCCCTCAACAACTCGCAACCGTATACACCAGTTCAGACACGCACACTCACACTCATAGCATAAGACCGAAGCACTCCTAGTGAGTAGCCGGAAGAAAATGGAGACCATCACCATCAGAGTAGGTGATCATAATATCCAGTCGCAACCCCATATCCGGTACCTTGGAGTTGTCTTGGATGAGAGGCTCAACTACAAGGAGCATATCTCCAGCGTCAGCAATAAGGCGGGACCAGTTCAGGGCGCACTCTCATGGATAATGCCCAATATCCGAGACTTCAGGCAAACCCGGAGACGATTACTTGCAACAGTAGTTACCTCCGTCCTGCTATACAGAGCACCGGTGGGGTCAGAATCGCTGGAACTAAAAACATATCGCAGGACAATGACATCAGTCCACCGACTCTCAGCGATTAGGGTGGTGTCACCATACCGGATGGTATCACAGGATGCAGTGAATGTAGTGGCATCATGCCTGCCCATAGACATATTGGCGGGAGAACGCCAGCGACAACACCGCAAGAAGAAAGCCGAGCAGCGGCAGGTCTTCTGTGAAGAAGAGAGGTCTGAAAGTCATCGTCTCTGGCAAGTGAGATTGGACAGCTCGACGAAAGGTCGATGGACACATCGACTAATCCCGGATGTCACCAAATGGATCACCCGTGTGCACGGGGAGGTTGGATTCTACATCACCCAACTCTTGACTGGGCATAGATGCTTTCGAGCATACTTGCACAGATTCAAGAGAAGTGACTCCCCGAACTGTCACCATTGCCGCGTGATGACCGAAGATGCGGAGCACGTGTTCTTCCGATGCCCTCTATACCAGGAGATAAGGACGGAACTCGAGAGAAATCTAGGCTTGTCCATCAGCCCAGAAATTATAGTGGACTGCATGCTGAAGAGTCAATCGGCATGGAACAAGGTAGCGGAGTATGCTGAGACCATACTCAAGGAACTTCGCACCACCTACGAAGAATAGACAGCAGTAACACCGAATAAGAACGCCCCGGCGAAGTAGTATTTACAAAGAGTGTCGCCGGGGAAAGAACGTTCCTGGAGAGAGGACAAAGGTGTAGGTTAGGTTTTAGTGAGGTAAAAATCCCACATAACTCGTCTGGCATATAGTAGGTTTTCCGAGGCGAGTACCTGTTGCAGGTTTCCCCTTTACCTCTTAAATCTAAAAAAAACTCACACAAACACACCTACACTAGTGTACACTGATGTTACTGCCTTCAGGCCTCATCAGTACGGTAGGGAATCAGGAAGATATGAAACCGATCCCAAAACACAAAAAACCAGGAAGCAAACGAATTGAACGAGGATGGAATGCAACGAGGCACCATGTATAACCCAGGAGATGGAAAAATGATGAAGAAACGAAAATCAATGATGGAAAATAAAAAGGAGCAAACGGAAGCCTAAAGCCCCAATTTGCAGCCCAAAACCAGATTCTTCATCATTTTTTCCATCTCCTGGGTTGCACACGGTGCCTCGTTGCATCGTTTGCTTCCTGTTTTTTTTTTGTTTTGGGATCGGTTTCATCGCTTTCTGATTCCTTACCGTACTGATGAGGCCTGAAGGCAGTAACATCAGTGTACACTAGTGTGGGTGTGTTTGTGTGAGTGTGCGTGTCTGCCTGGTGTATACGGTTGCGAGTTGTTGAGGGCTGAGCCGTTTAATTTTTTCTTCTTTATGTGTATATCTAGGTCTATAATTTAAGGTTAACTATATTCGTTACGATACATGAAAGGCTGAAGCTGCAGTTAGATTAAGCATTCTAAACAAATTATTTTTATACTCGAAAAATAATTAGGAAGCTTAAAGATTATTACACATATACCGGGTGCGTTTCAAAAGAGGTTCACCCCTATAACTTTCTATTTTTTCAGATAAAAAAAACGAGATTTATTGACGTATTCAATTGTTTTCGGTGACTTCCTGTTTCACCGGAAATGACTATAACTTTTGATTTTTAAATGGCACATTTGTTACTTTATTGGATAGAAAATGACATTTTTTTTTCAACAAGCGAGATTCAAAATGACAGAAAATAAAAATTGTTATCTATGAAATAGAATGATAGGCAACAACTGTCACTGTCATATAGCCTCTCATTGAACCCATATCTCCCCATGGTCTCCAGTGACAAAGTTTCAAAGACTATCATTGGTTTGTGCATCGATAGTACTTTAAATATGCAACGATATTAATTTTATCACTAATTTTATAGTCCGACACTAATTAAATATGATCAAATTAAAGAAATTTCTTTCAATATAACAGTAATAACACTGTTAAAAATTATAATCCATATATCCCTTCTAATTTCCTACCT